TAATGTTTATTATTTCCTTCCTTCTCCTCACTTAAGGCCTTGTTTGTTGTTCTTTTTCTAGTTCCTTTAAATATAAGGTTAGATTGTTTATTTGAGACTTTTCTTGTTTCTTGAGGTAGGCCTGTATTGCTATGAATTTCCCTCTTAGGACTGCTTTTGCTGTGTCCCATAGATTTGGGGTCATTGTGTTTTCATTTTTGTTTGTCTCAAGGTATCTTTTGATTTTTTCCTTGATCTCATTATTGACCCATTCCCCATTCATTATTTAGCATGTTATTTAGTATCCATTTGTTGGTTTGTTTCTCAGTTTTTTTTCTTGTAATTGATTTCTAGTTTCATTCACTGTGGTTGGAGAAGACAGTTCATATAATTTCAGTCTTCTTAAATTTATTGAGACTTGTTTTGTGGCCTATCTTGGAAAATGATCCATGTGTACTTAAAAAGAATGTATATTCTGCTGCTTTGGAATGCTCTATAAGTATCAATTAATTCCATCTAGTGCAGTGTGTCATTTATGTCTGCTGCTTTCTAGTTGATTTTCTGTCTGGACGATCTGTCCATTAGTATTCCCTACTATGATTGTTACTGTCGATCTCTCCCTTTATGTCGGTCAGTATTTGCTTTATATATTTAGGGGCTCCTATGATGGGTGCATAAATGGTTAGTAGAGTTACATCGTCTTGTTGGATTGATCCTTTTATCATTATGTGATTTTTTTTGGTTTGTTATTATAGTCTTTGTTTTTGATGAAAAGACATTATTGTTTTACTGTATAACATATTAGTGAATATACATGACTACATTTTCTCAAATGGTGAGACACAAGATAACAGTTCTCTTTAATACTGAAGTCCTCAATATCATCTTTCTTTTGGAAGATTCATTTTCTTATGACTTATATGATACTGTCCACAAGGATACCAATGGTATTTAGTGGTAAAGACTTATATTTTGCTAAGTTTTTCTATCACGGATCCTTGCTCCAAGTGTTCACCTTTTTATTCCAGTGTGGTTTTAGCACTTGATCCTGTGTTTCTTCATGATTATGCACTGGATCTGGCCGAGGGACAGGTTTTGTGTGTTCATATGAAACGCCCACAGAAGGATGGTAGCATATTATTGTCCTGCCATCAGATATCAAAGCAAGTTTTACTTTGCAATTAAGACATCTGGAAGAGAATATGTGGAATAAAAAGCTCCATTTTGAATTGGAAATAAATGTTTCAGGATGGATCTGTTTGATAACACCCATTTTACTGCTGCAACTGCCATGGTGAATCAAGATGCTTATCAGGTGGTATGAAAAAAGATGATTTGAAGGGAAACTGCTTTTAAAATTTGCCTCTAGGCATACCTATCTTCATCCCTTGATAGCTGCTCACTGTGAGCCTGCCATTTTGCTTCAGTCTGGGTCCTACAAGCCTATATAGTCTTTGTTTTAAAGTCTATTTTGTCTTATATAAGTATTGATACCCCATTTTTTGTTTGTTTCCATTTGCATGAAATATCTTTTTTCATCTCTTTACATTCAGTGTATGGATGTCTGTCAATGTGAAGTGGGTCTCTTGTAGACAGCATATGTAAGGGTCTTGTTTTCTTATCCATTCTTCTACCCTATATCTTTTGATTGGAGCATTTAATCCATTTACATTTAAAGTGACTATTGATAGATACATCAGTAAAGACTTCTTAAAGAAGTCCCTCTGACATTCCTTATAATATTGGTTTGGTGGTGATGAACTCCTTTAACTTTTTCTTGTCTGGGAAGCTCTTTATCTGTCCTTTGATTCCAAATGATAGCCTTGTTGGGTAGAGCAGTCTTGGTTGTAGGTCCTTGGTTTTCATCACATTGAATATTTCCTGCCCATCCCTTCTGGCCAAAGTTTCTGTTGAGAAATCAGCTGACAATCTTATGGGAACTTCCTCTTAAGTAACTAGTTGACTTTGTCTTGCTGTTTTTAGGACTCTCTCTGTGTCTTTAACCTTTGGCATTTTAATTATGATGTGTCTTGGTGTGGGCCTGTTTGGGTTCATTTTGTTTGGGACTCTGTGCGCTTCCTGGACTTGTATGTTGATTTCCTTTGCCAAGTTAGGAAAGTCATCATTTTTTCAGATAGGTTTTCAGTCCCTTGCTCTCTCTTTCCTCTTGGTACACCTACAATGTAAATGTTGTTACACTTGATATTGTCCCAGAGGTGGCTTGAACTATCTTCATTTTTTAAAAAATTATTTTCCCTTTTTGGTGTTCCAATTGGGTGTTTTCTGCTACCTTGTCTTCCAAGTCACTGATTCGATTCTCTGCTTCATCTAATCTGTTGATTCTTTCTTATGTAGTTTTCATTTCAGCTAGTGTATTCTTTATTTCTGACTCGTTCTTTTTTATGTTTCTTGTGTCCTTTTTTATGCTTCCTATCTCTTTGTTGAAGCTCTCACCTAGTTCCTTGAGCCTCCTTGTAACCAGTGTTTTGAACTCTGCCTCTGGTAGGTTGGTTGCTTTCATTTCACTTAGCTCTTTTTCTGGAGTTTTCTCCTTTTATTTGACAACACCCCCACCCTCCCCACCCCCATTTTGGCTGCCTCTCTGTGTTTGTTTCTATGCGTTCGGTACATCTCCTATGTCTCTCAGTCATTGGGTCACCTTATACAGTATGTGTCCTGTATGACCCAGTGAAGCAGTCTCCTTGCTCTCCTGTGTGTGTGTTCCAGGAATGTCCCTTGCATGGGCTGTGTGTGCCCTCCTGTTGTAGTTGAGCCTTGATTGCTTTTAGCACATAGTGGGTGGGATTGACTCTCAGGGTGACTGGCTGTGAGGATTGGCTATGCCTACAGTGTATGAGCTGCTGTGTGTGGGCTGACCCCATAGAGGGGGACTTGCCCCAGTGGGCTCCTGTGCTTGTTGTAACAACCCTTTGTGTCTGCTGCTTGTGGGGCTAATTGGGTGGTGCTCTGTGGTCTGAAGCTGGCCTCCAGGTGTGTTGGTTCTGGGGCCTCTTTTTTTTTTTTTTAAAGATTTTTATTGGGGAATTGGGGGATGGGAACAGTGCTGGGGAATTGGGGAAGGGGACCAGACAAGTTGCTGTCGTTTTGTTCTTCAGTCTAGTTGTGGAGGACGTTGCTTCAGTGGCCCAAGTTGGCACCATCATTGCGCTCTTCGCCTACGTCGCCATCGCCGGCGACTCACGGCAGCCCAGCTCCAGGTTGAGCTGTTGTTCAGCATCTTAGCTGTAGAGGGCAGTGTCACTGGCCCTCATATGTGGGATCCGAACTGGGGCCCTCTGGCGTTCCAAGCCAGCTCTTAACCAACGCGCCACTCGGCCGGCCCTCTGGGGCCTCTTGAGAGGGGCTCCCATGTAGGCCAAGGTCAGCCGCTACCTGTGACCAGTGTGGGACTACCTGGTAGGAGCTACAAAGCTATCTGTGGTTGTTCACCGCCTGTGCTAAACCTGGAGGTGTATGGGGGAGGCCATGCTGAAAACTGAGGCTGGCTGCCACCAGTACCAGGCCTGGAATAACTTAGCAAAAGGTCCAGGGCCCCCTGAGGCCTGATGCCACCTGCTGGCTTTTTGTAAGACTCAGCCACTTAAAGAGCTTCAGTTGGTATGTCAGTTGGGTGAGGCAGGGTTCCAGGTAGTCACTGAGGTAAGGTAAGTGTTCACCAGGTAAATTCAGATTCAGGTTTGGCAGCAGTGTTGAGCCCACGGCCCCTCGCAGAAGTCTCAGAGCACACGTTGGCCAGCTGCTGCATGCCTCAGGTATGCAGACCCCAAGAGTTTGTCAAGAAAGATTTTAGCGTGAGTTGGGGCTGGTTTGCAAGGACGCAGAAAGTACCTCTGATGGTGCTGCTTGAGTTAGCTGGGGCAGATCCCCAAGGAGTCACCGTGGTGGGGTGAGCGGCGTTCACCAGGCCAATGCAGTTTCAGATTTGGTTGTATGGGGGAGGGCTCAACACAGGAAAGATGGCGCTTACCTGTAGGCTACACATGAGGCAGGGTCAACATAGGGATAATGGAAGCTGTCCCACTATCCCTTGCTTTGAAGCCACACAACTCAGTCTTTCCCTATGTCTCTGATGCCTCTTGAGTTGCCTTCCCTCTGCCAGAGCACATGGTGAATGCCTGCAAGTCTGTGTGTAGGCCCTTTAAAGACATCTGTGTTTCTATCAGCCTTCCATCTCATCTGGATGGGTGGAATCCTCACTGCTTTTCACTGCCGGATGTAGTGGGGGTTTCTCTTCCCAGCACTGGAGCCCTGGACTGGGGAGCCCGGTGTGGGGCTGAGACCCCCTCACTCTTCAGGGGGGACTCTGTGGCTGAGATATCCCTCCCGATACTCAACCACTACACGTGGGTGTGGGACCAGCCCATTTTATGTCTCTGCGCCTCCTACCAGTCTCAATGTGGCTGCTGCTTCATATCCTTAGTTATAAAACTTCTGTTCAGCTAGTGTTCAGATGGTTCTTCAGGTTGATAGTTCTATAATTTAGTTGTTTTGTTTGTTTGTTTGTTTGTAGAGGGCAGTGTCACTGGCCCTCACATGTGGGATCCGAACCGGGGCCCTCTGGCGTCCCAAGCCAGCTCCCAAGCATCGCGCCACTCGGCCGGCCCTAGTTGTAATTTTAATGCGGTCATGGAGGCAGCAGGCATAGCATGTATCTACTCTGCCATCTTGCCCGGTCACCTGAAAACTTGGTTTAAATTTATTATTCAAAGACATTTTTACTTCCAGTATAGTTCAGCTTTAAGATTGCACTGGTGAATAAAGATGTAAAAGTAAGAGAAAGCAAGTATCACATTATGTTGATAAATGAAGTAGTTACAAATTAAAGGTTTTTTTAGAAATCTTTTTCCTCTGGACTGTGTCATACCCTGGTAGTGACTTCTGCAGTCACTACAGCCCACCTTAGGGACAGATGTTTAGGTGATTATCACATGGGTCTTTATTCTTTTCTGACATTTACAGTTTTGCCAGTCCTCTTAACCTCTCTTTTCTTTGTATTCCAGGACCCACCTCTGATGTTCAGTGAGGAGTACCAGAAAGGTCTGCTAGAGCAGTATCATTTGGTTCTGGATCAAAAACGCAAAGAGTATGTGGTTGGAGAGCTCATCTGGAATTTTGCTGATTTTATGACTAACCAGTGTAAGTGGAAGTTTAGGGGAATGTACCATTTCTAATATTTTCAGGCCGGACTTTCAGTTTAGGATATCTGGTTGTAAGAACAGTGGAAACAGGAGGGAAAAGCTGATCTAATCAATGCAGGTGACAGATAATTTCCAAGGAAAAGTAAGTTGCATTTAGCAAACAGCAATCACTTGCCTGCTTCCTAAATCATTTCATGGTAAAAAGCAAATGGGTACTGTCTTGAGGCAAAATGGCTGACTCATCTTGTCTTTTTAACAACAATATAAGGAAGAAGTGGACCTTGTATAGGATTTACTTATGGGATATTCATTATTCCAGGGTTGGGTACAAAGCCTGAGAAATGTATATATATAAACAGATATATACTTTTATATATATACTTTTACAAGGCGGGTTCACTGAATATAGGAAAGTGAAAGCGTTTTGAATGTAGGCGAGTTTAAATGTGGTCAAAGAAAACGTTATGTCCTCTTTCTCAAGTGGGGATAGATGAGGGCTACTTCACTTAAGCTCCAAATGAATGCTTCTCATTTCTTTATATACCTCTAGAGTATTCGTTTCTTGATATACCATAAACTTAGGATAGCAATTGGGGGGGGCGGTGGGGAAGGATTTGGTAGTCATGGGAATTACATTACTTACGGAGAAAGATGGGTCTTTGGACAGTTTAATTAAAAATTAGAATGGAAGAAAGAATGAGATGAGCCTCTGCTGTGCTTGGCAAATGAGGTTAAGGGCTTCAGGAAATATAATGGATGGTAGTCTAGTTTCATGAATGGGCGCACGACCTTTATGTAGTGAGAAACTAGCTTTGTGACCTTAGACAAGTGACCTGACCTTCTTGTCTTACTACCTTGCAGGTTCATGTAGGGATTCCATCTAACGATGTGCTTGGCAGTGCCTGGCATTTGCTTATTGTGGAGAGATTATTAGTGTTTTGAACTTCTTGAAGAGACCTACTTCCCATTTCACAGAAGCTGTGGTTTCACTGGAGGGTGGAGTGTGTGCTCAGAGTGCAGTCCTGACAGGCTCTCCAGCTTTGCTCCCTTCGCAGCTTCAGCAAAAGTGGGAGCCCAGCTGGAAGTGTCGGCCGGGACTCTGAAATCTAGTAGATGCTGTCTGGCACCTTGACTGCTCAGGACTCTGGCTCCCACTAGGATACTTATCTTCCCAAGGGTAACTGTTGTCTCAGTCCCCTTCCAGTTACCAGGCAGCTGGGTACCTGTAATGTTTTAAACTTTATTTTACAAGTAAAAGGTTAACAATTTTGGATCTTTTCCCCTAACAGATGAAAAATCCACGCAGGGAGCTGAGGTGTTTTGGGGGAGCGGTAGTTGTTAAAACTTTAACCCACTAAGTGGCCACTTCAGGGCAAGCAACCCTGAACTACATGAGGCTATTTCTATTTTGTGCTCAGCTTGGAACCCATCAGAAGTCACCTGAAACTTTTGTTTTGTTTTTAGCACCAACGAGAGTATTAGGGAATAAAAAGGGGATCTTCACTCGTCAGAGACAACCAAAAAGTGCAGCATTCCTTTTGCGACAGAGATACTGGAAACTTGCCAATGAAACCAGGTACCATCGATCAGCTGTGAAGTCACAGTGCATGGGAAAGACCCCGTTTACTTTTTAAAGCAAGAACTACCTCTTCAGACAGCAGGTGTCAGCCCCTCCTCCCTAAGTAAGACGCAACTTCCTGAACCGAGTGTGGCAGACCAGAAAGTTTCTGCTCTGGATTTTGTAGTAATTTGCTAGAAGGGAATGTGGAGGTGAAAATCAAGGCGCTTGTAGTACGGGAATAGAGTTGGCTCAGAAGTGACCATCCACAAATTAAATTATTGGTACTGCAGAAAAGCATCTCGTTATCTTTATGTCAAGCTGTTTTCATAGACATAACTGTGTGATTCTTAAGAATGGCCTGCTTCAGCACTCCGGCCACATGCACGACTGTGCTTCCACAGGGACTGCCGCACAGTCTTAGGCCACCTGTGCTCATGCCCCAAACCAGGCCAACCCTGACCGAGGGAGGGAAACTCCCTAGATGAGCTGAAGTCGCAGAACACTTAGACGTGCTGCCATGCTGGGATAAGCAACAAGGTCTGTGCACTGGTTTCCACAGTGTTAACCAAACAGATATGCCTAAGAGGTGAGAGCTGAAGAATGTCTGAGTCGGGAGGAAGCACAGGTTACCGGTTGTGCCAGGACATTGTTCCAGCCTTAGCCATGCAGTCTGGCCTTGACAGAAGTGGGCAGACGGCTGTGAAGGCCCAGTGGCCGTGTCATGACCGTCCCCACTGAGCATGAGGAGACCTCTGTAAATTAAACAGGCTGGGCCTACAGAGATGTAGACCCTTGAACATGTAAACTATGGGTCCACTTTACATGTGTAGTTTTTTTTACCATGTTGTCCAAACCCATGACATCACCTCTGAATGGGAGTCACATACAGGGAGGGCTGACTGTAGTTATATACCCAACTGTGGAGGAGGTTGGCACCCCAACACCCCACGTTGTTCAAGAGTCACCTGTACTCCGGGCCTTTGTGCCTCTGGATGACACCAACCTGCCCGGCTCCCAGAGGATCGTTTTTCTTTATGCAATCATTTCTCCTCTTCACAGGGTCCATTAAGGCAAGTACAGTCCATTACTCCTAAAGTTCAGTATTCCTCAATCCTGGTTTAAGGCTGAATGCTTTGGAAAAATACTCATTGGTATCCAATCACATGGAAGACCATGAACCAACACAGTTAACACAGAACTTGATCCACTTTCATTGTGGTCGATGCTACACGTCTTGACACGCCTCTTTCCAAATTCCATGAGAGAAACAGTCAAGGTAATTTGACCTCATTTTAATGGCCATCTTTAGACCGCTTTTAAGAAATGAGAGTGTAGTCAGTTCAAATAATAAGTTAGGAATTCTAGTGATTACATATTTATTTTTTTTTACCCCTGAACTTACTAACTTCCTTCAAGGAATCAAGTTTTGTGTTCTGGTTAATTGTCAAGGAATAATACATAAAACTCTTTACTTGACAAACAGAAAAAAATATTAAACAGGGCCGGCCGAGTGGCGCGATGGTTAAGAACTAGCTTGGGATGCCAGAGGGCCCTGGTTCGGATCCCACATATGAGGGCCAGTGACACTGTGCCCTCTACAGCTAAGATGGTGAACAACAGCTCAACCTGGAGCTGGGCTGCCATGAGTTGTCGGCAGCGGCGTAGGCTGCAGCCCCTGCTGCAGTGGCTTGCCATGGGCTACCGTATGTAGCCAGCAGCCAGCGTGAGCGGCCAGCAGCTGCTGTGAGCAGCTGTCCAGAAGCCGGCGACTGATCTGCCTCACCAGGGAAGAGCACAATGATGGTGCCAACTTGGGCCAGTGAAGCAACGTCCTCCACAACTAGAATGAAGAACAAAATGACAGCAACTTGTCTGTTCCCCTTCCCCCAATTCTCCAGCGCTGTTCCCATCCCCCCAATTCCCCAATAAAAACCTTTAAAAAATAAATAAATAAGTAAATAAATAATTTAAAAAATTAAACATAATAGACTCTTAAATGTTTTATAAATTAGGGGTAAGGCCCATTTCTTTTTTTCTTTTCTTAGAGTGGAGGAGTTAATAGATTTGTTGGACATTGACTTGTTTCCTCTCAGCCACAGAGAAAAAGAGCCAAACAAAAGTCCCTACATTTTCTTGTACATCTTAAAATACACTATATCATTACTCCATATTTATACTTCAATAAATCTTAATCTATAAAGCACATTTCTCATCACTGTTATCAGAAAGTCTGCAAATAAGTCAATTTTGCCTTGAATTTATTACTATGCTTCTTAAGAGGCTCATGTAAATCTCACCTTCCATTTGTTAAATTTGATCCAAGAATCAGATATGACCAACATTTCTGGAACTATGATATATTTTTATTCTCAAAGTTCATTTTCCACACAATGATGCCCACTCTAGAAAAGCCTTTTCTCACATTCTATATTTTAACTTCCAGAGTTTTGCACTAAACAGTAAAACCACAATAATTGGGAATCTCAGCCAAAGAGTATATAATTCTATTACTATAATGTATTACACATTTTAAAAAACTTGTTAAGGGGGCCAGTTAAGGTGGCGTGTTGGTTAGGAGTTGGCTTGGGACACCAACTCTGAGTAGCAGGGCCCCGGTTTGGATCCCACAGGAGGGCCAGTGACACTGTGCCCTCTACAGCTAAGATGGTGAACAACAGCTCAGCCTGAAGCTGGGCTGCCATAAGTCGCCGGCGACGGCGTAGGCTTAAGTGGGGCTGGCCAGCAGCTGGCGTGCACTTTCGTGAGCTGTGGTGAGCCACCAGGAGCGGCCATCCAATGGCTGGCAAGCAACTGTCTCACCCAGGAAAAGCGCAATGATAATACCAACATGGGCCAGTGAAGCGACGTCCTCCACAACTATACTGAAGAACAAAAGTACAGAAACTTGTCTGTTCCCCTTCCCCGATTCCCCAACGCTGTTCCCCTCCCCCAATTCCCCAATAAAATCTTTTAAAAAAAACCTAACAACTTAAGACTTAAAATAGTTCAGGCAATTCTGACAGTCAGTAAATTAGTTGTTAATAACTTATTTTTTAAAAATACAACAATCTATTCAACTTACTTAATGCTACTACAGATTAGTTTTTTTAGAAGACCCACAAATCTCCAAACTGTGATAGAGGGTATCTTGGATTCACCTCTGAGCGCTACTGGAGAGATGCCTAGCTCTTTGAGCTGAGTCTTCCTTTCCCCCAAGTACAACACCCTGGTGAGAGAACTATTGGTCTGGGAATTTCAGAGATGGCCTCCCCCAGGACTGCTCAGAAGAGCAGGAGGCTGTCACACAAAAACCGCTTGTACTGAACCCCCAAACATTTGCAGTGGAAGAAGTACCTACCTACTTAGGGGAGGGTTCCAGTACCCAGCACAGTGCCTTGTTGGGAGAAAATGCTTAATAAATGAACACATGGCTGCTCTACCCTTTTGTACAGGAGTAAAACAGCAAACCTGGTACTTGTTGCCCACCTGTCAAGGACTTCTCTGTCTTAACAGAAATGAAGGCAAAATAATGAGTTAGATCTTTTGTTTTCTAAAAGCCAAGATGGATCATCTTCCCTTTTATATTTGCCTTTCAGCACTGCCATTCACTGCAAAGTCTCCTGTCATCATTTCTACTTCATATTTATGATTGTTTATTGTTTAAACTGTCCACTTTCTAATAATACATGGGAGAACATTATTTTCATTAATGGGATGCCTTCAAATTACCGACAGGATGTGCTGTTTTTTAGTTTTCCTGCAGGTAGATAATTACATTTAGATAAATTCTTGATACACTTAAGTTCTTGAATCAAAGTATTTTTTTTTATATCTTCCCTAAGATGGGTGTCCCATTCACTTCTGATGTCTTATCATCATCATATCTAATTTGTGTTCTAAGGCTCATTTTACTTTGAGGCTTTTAGTTATCCATTATCTTCTATTTTCTGAAATGCATATCCAAATTGGGTAAAAGGAAACAGAAGGGTAAATTTTGAAAAAATGGTTTCGGTTTTCAAACTTGATAATCCCCGTGTTGCCTTTTAATGTACAAGGAAAAATCTCCTTCCAAAGAACATTCCAATGATGAACACAAATAAAGCGTCTGTAAGACCTGCTTCTTAAGTCCTAAGGTTCTAGCACAGAACACAACTGACCTATTCCACAAAATATGGCTGAACGTATTTCAAATGGATTTTTCTTTCTTGCAGATGTTACCTTTTTAGAAAAATTGTAAGAGTGGAGTACTCAAGGTGAGCTCAAGTAAAGCAGTGAAAAAACAGCTGATTAATATGTTCTGTGTGCTCACAAAACCGAAAGCACTAACACCTTTTCATTAATTCTTGACAACCACATACATCATAAGCCTACAGGAATTTCAAGAATTAGAATCTTTAAGAGAATCTCGTGTCTTCTGTAAGTTACATATAATTTAAGAGAAAAAGAATCAACTCAGTACACCTGTAGAAATGAGATTACAGTATGAGGTTACTTCAAGAATAGTTTGAATTCATTTCAGATTCTTTTTTGAAATGTCATACTACATACAGTATAAGAATGATGGCAGCACAATTTACACTGTTAACTTCTACATTTATTTTATACCAAAAAAGTTATGTGCAACAAATAAACATTCTTACATATTTACATTTGTTTTTACCAGTTAGCAAATCTGTGTCCTAAATCTCTGATAAAGAATATTCCTGTCTATATTTAAAGGGGAAATCTGCCCAGTGAACTCCATTTTAAATGAATGTTTACTCTGGAGTGTAAAGCACTAGTAATAAATATCTTTGATGGAACATACTATACAGATCATATACCTCATACTTAGGCCATGCTTAATAGTTTTATAACAAAACATTTCACCTTTTCTGGGCTAATTTGTCAAAAACATGTTGAACCAAAGTAGTATGGACTCACACCCTGTCCCTTTTGTTTTATTGAAGGGTAGTTCTCACAGATTAGGGATCCTAAGTGCTGACTAACACGTCTGAATAGAGATGTTGTAGTACTTGCATGTGGAGGGAAAATACATGAGGACAAAGGTTGCATTTAGGTACTCCTTCCCAAATAGGTTACCAAAAATGATAGTTGGTTTTCTGTTGGCATCTGTTTAATTAATACTGATTTTCAAGATCTGTCAGTAGTGGTACCAATCCAAGTTAGGAAGTAACTGCTGAAGATAACTGCATTTTTGTTGATGAGTCTTAAAAATAAATAGAAATACAAGCAAACTAAAGCCAACAAATAGTTTTAATTTCAGTGTAGTCTTGGTCCTCTATCCTACCAATAGGCCCAGAGATCCCTTGTACCAAATGACAGATCTTTGTGTCTTCACATGAAAATATTCAATGCTTTCACCATCTTTAAAAGTAATGATTTAAGGAGGGTACATACATCAAGTAAAAGTAATTCCTGGCACACAGCTAGTTAAACCTGAGTTATTTCACCAGAAGTTTACCCTCACTGACAGCAACTAGATGCAATGAAAAACCAAATGAAATTCTCCAAACCACCTAGATTGCCTAGAAATTGTCATCTAACTGTCATCTAACCACAAGTTCTCTTATTTCTTCAAATGATGTGACAAGTAAATAAGAGGCTTAATTTGTCACAAATCATTTCAGAAACCAAGAAACATGGAATTACTGCCAAAAACAAATTCAATTTTCCCCCTATCTGCTCTCCAATGCTGGTGGCTAGTAATTTTGCAGTGTTTGAATATTCGGTCTAAGAGAGTCACAATAATCCTCAAATTTATAACATGGTGTCCCCCCTTCTGCAGGGGCATAGACAATGTAGGGGAGCCTGGATTCTTCTGAGGCAGCGATACCCAGTGACACCCACCAGGGTCTGCCGCTCACTGAGGTGCTGGCACCACAGTGCTGGTAACTCATCGCTCAATGAGAAAAAGGATATTAATTCTGGGTCAGAAGAACGTGGCAACATTTTTTATACAACGGAAACAGTGGTGTTTTCCCCCCAGGAAAGCAAGGAAAACTTGAAGGGTCTGGCTGAACATGTGTACATTTTCTCATTGAGTTGTATACATTTACAAGAATGCAACATCAAGACAAGCTTTAAGTATACTCTGCTGATTGATCCAAAATATCATGAAAAACCATTTTAAATTGGGACACGAGGACCTTTTAGCACTACCAGTGTTCTATATACCACAGAGGTATCAACCCTTAGGCCATGTCCACACTAGTGAGAAAAGAGAAGCAGTAAACAGCTTGGTAGAACTGAAGCACTGTTAACACACGACTTCATTGTACAGTTCAACTTCAATATTAGGACTTGTTCATCCATAAACACGAGACATCTAATCAATGCTTTCTACAGTTCTTTATAGAAATAAGAACAATACACACATAAAGTAGGCATTGAAATATTCACATTTATGGGAAAACATCAGCCTGGATGAAATCTGAATTGAGCTATCTTACCAAACTGATCCGAACTCCTTAATAGGTCATTACGATTGAGATTTTATACCTGCCTTGGGCCAGAATACGTTGCATCAATTATGACAGTAGTTGGAAACAGTGGCTGACTAAACATACGTTTACAGAGCAGAGCCTGACCCCTCCCATCAAAAAGAAGGTGAATAAAGCACTCAATTTACGGGTCTATTTTTAACATAATGATTAATCTAATTGGAAGCAAAACATTGCTACTCCTTCTCAATCTAAGGGATAAAACGATCATACAGAACCTTTCTATAGAATGCAAGCTGTGTACTTTATGCTAAGGAAGGAAGGAAGGACAACTTCTGCCCAAGTGCAACACAATATTTGGTTTGAGATTTAAGACAGAAGGCACTTTAACATTTTGACGTAAGATGTTAACCATAGAAACATACTGTCACAATTTCAGCTGGGTGTATTCAAATCACTTTTAAAAAGCCTGCATTTGTGTAGTTATCAGAAAGAGTAATGACACTATTGCATTTCACCTTCACATATTTCTACTGTAGTATGCCTCCCAGTTAGGCAAATTGAGCAGCGAGCGCGTCAGCCCTAAAGTTTACAAATCTAATGTTTGACTCTAAAACAATTAAACCAGACATCCAATTAGTGCAGAAAGAAACAGGGAAAACACTACACAGCTACCCAAGAGCAATCGTACTTGGGAGCAACTAGGTTATACTGGTTATTTCAGAGCCATAATACTGTTTGGTTGACTGGCACCAATATTAAGGACAAATGTCTGTGTGAAAATTCAACTGTTCCAAGAGACTGTATCTTAAAATGCCATATTAATATTTCCAGCTTTTCTCCAAAGAAATCTACCCATTTTCCCATCTCTAGTGTCCTGAAGCCTTGGACTTGATGGTTCGGTCACATGACTTATTCTGTAAGGTTATAACTGATGTTTGACTTGAATGTCCAAACAGTTTCTCCCTTTCAGAGGAAGGACATGAAAAGGAACCAACCATCTTATTATTTTGGCTGTCAGTGCTGGACTTTTACAGCTGCCAGTACTTTTCACAAGATGCTCTGTATGGACCTACTACTTTCACTATTTCTTCAGTTAATGTTGAGCTGACAATTCTTCATTGCTACACTTCAACTAAACTGTGCAGTAAGTTTTGCAGGGTTGGATCCAATATTTCTACCTTTATTTACAAATATCACATAAATGGATTCTAGGTGACTCTACATGTTTAAATCCATTGGCTAAAAACATTACATATTGTAAACATGGCAATATTTAATACAGTATCTATTCTAAAATATTTTCATGTCATGATCACATTTGTTATACCTGAATTGAATTCATACACATTGGAAAATTACTAGCAATGGTTGCTCACTTTACCATTGAGGGGAGGGGGCTAGGGTTACATTTAATTATTTCAGAAACATCTTCAAAGTAAAGTTAAAGCTTGTCTTTGATTGGTTCGGCATATGCTTTTTTTTGTACCCATATTTAAAATTAAGATTGACACAGAAAATACCCTTTTAATTTACAAGATTTAAAAAAATCAGTTTAAGATCCTTAGGGAAAGTATCTGTTGTGAAGAATAAAAAAATGCTGTAAAATAAACTTAATGGAAAAGGGACTTCAGACTGTCAGATAAGAGTTTGTCAGGTGGTCAGTCCTGCTTGGGCTGCAGTTGCTGTTTCCAGGCCTCATTCAAGTAAACTAGTCGTTTGTAGTTGATGATAAGAAGAATGAAGTTCAGCACGTAGGTGACCACGCAGATGATGCAAAACTCCTTTAGCACAAAGTACAGAATGTAGGCCAGGTACAAAGAACCTACCACAGACACGATGGAGGATGTCATGAGGATTAAAGCTGCAACTGCACTTGCTGTCATGCCTGCAAGAGAAAGAGACACTTGGCTCAATCAGCCTTGACACTGAGAAAGTTGCTGAGTTAAAAGGTAACATTTTCTAATTTGCTACAGTGTTGGAATACTGATCTTACTGCAAAATACCATGAAATTTGAGGACAAAAACTACTGGCCTGTTTTGTTAACATTATGCAGGTTGACTTTGCATACAGAATACCAGTTTTATAGCTGCTATGTTTTTGACTTGTCAGTATTCTAGACGAAATATTACTTATTTCATAAAGTAGCCTTAGTTGAGACATACAAAGAAAATATAGAATCTTGCAATCACATTATGCAATGAAGCTGATTTGTAAAGCTGACAGCCCCTTTCCTAATGAATAAAGGAACATGAGGCCCACAACCAGGAAACATTCTCCCTGTCCTTTTCACTACAGCTCCCCATCTGTGGAAAGTAAAATTTGCATTCCCATGTTTAGATCAAATTTATAAAAAGTCCATAATGGGAAATGATCACATCAACATGCTGCTAAAGAAGAAAAAACAAACGAACCACCAAACATTTCATAAAAGGCTCACCCTGGAAGATAAGGGAAACCACACTTGGCCAGTTGATCACATGTGGGTCAAACCAGATCAAGAAACAAGGCAGTTATGTGTGTTAAGCGGGGACCCTCATGACAAAAACCTGCCTCAATTCTGGATGCTATCTGACATCTTTACACATATTGTTTTGTCATTTCCTGTAGCTAACAGTATGGAGAATGTGCATTTATTTTCAAGGACAGAGACGGCAGAGCATATTAAACTACCTTCTCACTCAACAACTAACTAATGGGTAAGAATAACATAACGGGAAAATAATAGGTGGCGGCAGGGCTGCAGAGGTCAGGTAAGGAGCCAAACATCCTGCTGCCTGTTGAGGAGGAGCTGTGTGCAGGCTGCAGCTACGGCCTGGCTTGCCCAGGCACCATCAGTACAAGAGCATGAGGCTTTACCGAGGTTCTTCAAGACTAAGATGCCGTCGGGTTACTTATGCCAGGGACTGGCAAATCCAACTGGCCACCTGCTTTTGTAAATAAAGATTTATGGGAACCTAGCCACACACTGCCTCAGGTAAGGTTGTGGCTGCTTTCACACTAGAATGCCTGTATTGAGCAGCTGCAACAGCCAGCAAAGCCTAAATGATTTTCTCTCTGGCTCTTTACTAAACAAGTTTGCTGATCTCACCTTTGCTAAACATCTAAAACTACAAAAATTAAGCTGTCACTTTAACTTATGCCTAAGAAATTAGTTTCAAAATTACATGGACAAGTTATTTAATTTCTCTGTGCCACTCTTTTCCTTAACTGCAAAATTGGGATAATAATCATGAGCACCTCCTAAGACTATTGTGCAGATTAGAAGAGCTAATAATTATAAACACTTAGACTGTTCCCTAAATACTAGCTGTTAGTTAAATGCTTGAATCAAACTTGTCCTAATGTAATGTAACTGATGGCTTGGGATAAAATTTCCAATGGAATTTAAAATGTAATAAATGATTGTATTATACAATCAAGTAATGGAATTTTTGCAGCTGTAAAAAAGAACCAAGACATTTAATGTACTACTATGGAAAGCACCATAATATATATTAGTCAAGCAAAACAAAAAAAACTACACAGAACAGTGTGTATAGTATCTGCCTTTTATGTTTAAAAAAGGAGGAAAAATTAAAATTCTATGCTTGTATGTTCTTGTGTATGCCTAAAGAAACTATAATGACAATAACAAAAAGCTACTGGTCAGGGATCAGAAGCAGGGGGAAGTGGGCAGAGGGTGGGACAGGCTTTTCACCGTATAGCATTTTACTTTTTTTTTTTAAACTTTTGAACGACATGAATGTATTACCTATGGAAAAATTAAAGTAAAAATACAGTATCTCAAACAATGTAGCAGGGAGTGAAGAACATGCACTCTGGAAACTTAGATGAGTTTAAATATGCCTCTAATGGTAAAGACACTGATATTAAAAATGCATGTGAATGCATATATGTGAATAGAAAAAATACATGATACATGGTTTAAAATGTGTATAATGAAATTAAATATAATAAACAGAAATTTGTTCTATCTCTCTCTCTAAAAATTAACATAGTCAAAAGCATTTCTTAGGTTATTTTAATTTAGGTTTATACTTTCTATAGTGGAAGTCTCAGCCCAGCCCCCAACCACCAGATCCACTTCCATACATTTACATGTATATAAACATACAGCTTGTCCTATACCTGTTATACCACAATTTGCTTTCTTCGCTAAACTACGTCTTGATCTTTCCAGGGCATACATGTAGACCTACTTTTTCTTTATTGGGTACGTTGTTTTCCAATATGAATGTAACCTAATGTAGTCAACCATTACATTTTGCTAAGCTACTTCCAATTTTTTGCTATTTTAAACTGTACTGCTATGACTATCCTTGTGCATATTTTTATATTTCTGCAGGATATATAGGTATGGAATTGGGCAAACTTGATAGGACTATTGAGAAAAATTTAGGTTCACAATTTGCCTCATAACAAATAAACTTCAGCTAGACAGAAGAGCACAGAGGAGCTGGCAGATGATAGGATGAAACATTAACAATTAAAATATTATACAGGGACAAAAATGGATGAACTTAACTCTGAAAGTATAAAAACTGTTGTGAAATCAAAATTCACAAAACTAACATAAAAAAGGACAGAAAATGGGTTAAGTGTTTGTAACAAATATGAAAATGGATTTATTATCTGGGGTCCCAATTACTAAATTGCCAATAAAAGGAAATTAAAATATAGTAAAATTAAAATAGCTACTAATATGTAAGTATTAAGTGTTTTATAGAAAATACTTTTTAAAAATGAAGCGGGGTAAAGCTTTGGGAAAACCTGACAATTGAAGGAAAAGCAGTTTGTTAAACTACTGGTTCTATCATTAACGTACACTTTTATTTAATAAAGACAAACTTCAGGGCAAAAACACAAAGTACTAAATGGAATGTAACAAAAAAATACCTTATTTTTGTATTGCTGTATAAATACTTACCAAGTAATAACTGTAGTATATAAAATATAAGTCCAAAGACACTGTTTGGCTGGTTTAATACACCATCCTTTCCAAAAATGGAACCCAAAAGACCAAATCCTCGACCCCATCTGTAAAATAAGGAAAACCAGTAACCCTATATTTGAGTTTTCCAATTTTGAAAAATGTAAAATTATCTGAGAATGTCATGCCAATATATCCATCTGAATTCTCTAAGGTGACAATTTCTATATAGTCTCTTTTCCAAAACGTAGAGCAAAGTATTCTTTTTCTGAGGGCATTAGGAGGGCTAATTTGCAGAAGAAGGGTTCTCTCAATTTCAGCTAGGGTCTCTTAGCAGCAGCAGCAGCAACAGCAGCATTGATATTTTGGGCTAATTCTTTGTGGTGAGGTGGTTCAGTGCATCACAGGGTATTTAATTAGCAGTATCCTTTGCCCCTACCCAGTAGATTTTAGCAGTACCCTGCCAGTTTTGACAAACAAAAATATCTTTAACCATTGCCAAATGTCCCCTGGAGAAAAATCACCCCTAGTTGAAAGACACTGATATAAGTTGCCTATTTCTCCATTCATAGTATGTAGACTGAAAGAAGCCCAAGAACGCATGGAATGTACACCTATAATTAGAGCACTTCCTCCTGAGAGAAAACTGAGAGCCAGTTGAATAGCTTCTGCACAACAAATAGAGACCGTGTAGAGAAGACTGGGGACACGCAAGAGCTCTCTCGGAGCTGATGGAATGCTCCAGGACCAGAGGAACTGGTGAGCGCCACTGTTTAGTTTCCTGGGTTCTTGGGCAGACTGCAGGGCTGCTGCAGCACACACCCGGCCAACCTTCCCAGAACTAACTCCAGCAGGAACAGGAGGGCGCCACAGCGTGCATGCAGGGGGCTCTCTGCCTGGAGATTGATCCAGTGAGGAGACAGGGCATTGGAGAGAGTGTAGAGCTAGCAAAACATTGTGGTACCCACTCATAGGGCTGCCCTGTCCATAAGCTGCAGACAGTGGAGTGCTGCTGTGCACGAACGTGGGACTGCCCCACTGGGAGAAAGTGCGGAGCCAGCAAAGCATTATGGTACTGACAGCAGGGCTGCTCTGTACAGAGTGAATGGGGAGCTGCTGCTCCTGCTTGTGGGGCTGCTCCAACACAAGAGGGTGCAAAACTAGAAAAGTGCACACTCATGGTCTGCCTCATCTAGAGAAAGTGAGGAGCTAGTAGGGTTTTGCAATGCACTCACTCAGAGCAGCCCTGCCCAGGCCCAGCTGGAGCCACGGGTATGCACCACACACACCTGCTCCGACTGCAACCAGCCTGCCAAAACTATCCTGCCCAGTCTGCACAGAGGCTACTTTTTCAAGATTGGGAGAGATGGCTATTTCATCTAACTCATAGGAACAAACAGAGAAAGTCAAACAAAATGGGGAGGCAGAAGAATATGCCCCAAATGAAGGAACAGGAAAAAACCCCGGGGGGGGGTGCTGACAGGGGGGGAAGGCAAGACAACTAATGAAACGGAGAAAAGTAATTTGACTGATAGAGAATACAAAGAAATGGCCATAAGGATGCTCAACAAACTGGAGAGTATAATAGAGGAACTCAAAGAGCACTTTAAAGAGTTAGAAAATGTAACAAAGAACCAATCAGAGATGAAGGATACAATAACTAAAATGAAGAATACATTAGAAGGAATCAACAGATTAGTTAATACAGAAGGAACGGATTACTGATCTGGAAGACAGAATAGTGGAACTCACCCAATCACAACAGCAAAATGAAAAATGAATTCTAAAAAAACGAGAGTATATGGGACCTCTGGGATAACATCAAGTGCTCTAACATTCGCACTATAGGAATTCCAGAAGACAGAGAGAGAGAAAGGGGCAAAAAGTGTATTTTGCTGAAAACCAAATAATGGCTGAAAAGCTAACCTAATCTGGGGAAGGAAACAGACATCCAAGTTCAGGAAGCACAGAAAGTTCCAAACAAAAACCCAAAGAGGCCCACAGCAAGATGCATTATAATTAAAATGGCAAAAGTTAAGGATAAAGAGTCAATTTTAAAGGCAGCAAGAGTGAAATAACAAGTCACACACAAGGGATACCCCATAAGGCTATCAGCTGATTTCTCAGCAGCAACTCTACAGGCCAGAAGGAAGTGGCAGGAAATAAAGTGCTGAAAGAAAGGAACCTGCAACCTAGAATACTACATCTGACAAGGTTATCATTCAGAACTGAAGACTAGATATAAACAGTTTCCCAGACAAACAAAAAGTAAGGGAGTTCACTAACACTACACTGGCTTTATAAATGTTAAAAGGTTTTCCTTATGCAGAAAAGAAAGTCATACCCAGAAATAAGAAAATACAGGAAAGAAAAAAAAATCTCACTGGTAAAGGCAAATATATAATAAACACAGTGAATCAACCACTTAAAAAGCTAATATGCAAGTTAAAAGACAAGACAAAAGTAGCAAAATTAACTATAACTGCAATAGTTGGGATACACAAAACAAAAAGATATAAAACATGATGTCAAAAATAGAGTGGAAGGGGAAGTAAAAATATAATGCTTTTAGAATACATTTGAATTTAAACACCTATCAGATTAAAATAGACTACTACAGATATAGATGGATATATATGAACCTCATGGTAACCACAAACAAAAACCTACAAAACATACACAAAAACAAAGAGAAAGGAACCTGATCAAAACCAGCAAATGATAAGGAAAGAGGTCAAGAGAAGGAACAGAGAAGAATAACAACCAAAAAACAATAAACAAAATGGCAATAAGTACATATCTATTAAAAATTACTTTAAATGTAAATGGACTAAATTATCCAATCAAAAGACATAGGTGGCAGAAAGGATTAAAAAAAAAAAAGATCCATCTATATACCATCTCCTTATTGTTTTTCCATAGTCCCTGCTTTATTTTCATTTGGTAACACACACTTTTAAAAACATGCATGTTTGCAAAATACCCAAACACTGGGAATTAGAAGGGTATAAAACAAAGGATTACAGACTTGAAAGAATATCCTGGGCTTCAGAACAAAACAAAACCAATCAAATATTGAAAATTTCTTTGTTAAAAACACAAAAATATTTTAATAGAATTTAAGTGTTTTTGTTGCAGTTGTTTTCACTAAGGAACACTGAAAGGACAGGAACTAAGCTTCTTGTGTTACCTGAGGCAGGCCTATCTTCTCCTCCTTGAAGGCCTTTTGCAACATACAAATGCCAGGATTCATTGGCCTCAATGTTCAACACACACACACACACACACACACACACACGCGCGCGCCATCTGTAAGTGCAGCACCTGGGGCCCACCCTGGGGACAACTGGCAGGGGCTACAGAGCATCCAGGATGTGGTCAACCTCCGTGACCAGCTCCTATCCATTTCCTGAGATGAGTTTCTTGTTCTCGACATGTCTTTCTTGAGCTTGTTAGGCACCAGCCGCTCAGCTTCCACTGATGACTTCAGCACCAGCTCTTTGACCCGTGCCTCCAGTTTCTGCATTTCGCTCACTTTGTTGCACAGGTCAGAGCCCTGTCTTCAGCCTGGACTGCATGCAGCTTGACCGTCAAGAATCTCCCACTTTTACCCTTAATTTTGGTCCCTTCACCTGCATGCTGAGGTGCGCCAGGCAAGGCTTGCGCTCTGGCTCCAAGGCTAAAAGGAAGGAGGTGTACCAGGACCAGGCACGAGGTGTACCAGAACCACCTTAGCCGTCACTTTGGCCAGGTGGCTGCTCAGAGCCACTGTGCAGCTCACATCGTGGTTGACCAGCAGCGGTACCTTGGGGGAAGGCTGTCTGGTGCTGGGAGCCAGGCCCCAGGCAGCAGGAGCAGAAGCAGGCAGGCAGCAGGTACTTCCATGACCAGGACTGAGCTAAGCTGCAGGACACGCGGAACACTGCTGCCCAGCCTCCACCCACCACGCAGCTGCTCATTGGGCCCATGCTCATAAGAGACTCATTTTTGATCGAAAGACACATACAGACTGAAAGTGAAGGGATGGAAAAGGATATTCCATGCAACAGAAAATAAAGCTGAGGAGGTAATACTCATATCAGACAAAATAGACTTTAAAATAAAGAATGTAAAAAGAGACAAAGAAGGACATTATTAAAGTCAGTGCAAGAAGAGGATATAACAATTGTAAATATCCATGCACCCCACACAGAAGCACCCAAGTATTATACATAAACCAAATATTAATGGACATGAAGGCAGAGATTAACAGTAATAAGTAAAAGTTGGGGATTTTAATACTCCACTTACCTCAATGGACAGATCACCCAGACAGAAAATTAATAAGAAAATAATGGCCTTAAATGCCACGTCAGACCAGATTGACTTAACAGACATTACTAAAACATTTCATCCCTAAACTGCAGATTATACATTTTTCTCAAATGCACATGGGACATTTTCTAAGATAGATCACATATGAGGCCACAAAACAAGCCTCAATAAATTCAAGATTGGAATTATATGAAACATATTTTCTGACTGCAATGACATTAAACTTGAAATCAACTATAGGGGGAAACATAAATATGTGGAGATTAAACAACATGCTACAAACAACCAATAGATCAAAGAAATCAAACAGGAAATCAAAAACTACCTTGAGACAAATGGAAATGAAAACACAACTTGACAAAATTTATGGGATGCAGCAAAAGCAGTTCTAAGAGGAAAGGTTATAGCTATATAGGCCTATCTCAAGAAGTAGGAAAAATCCCAAACAATCTAACTTTACACTAAAGGAATTAGAAAAAGAACAAACAAAACCCAAAGTAAGCAGAAGGAAGGAAATTAAATAAAGATCAGAGTGGAAATAAATGAAGTAGAGACTAAAAAAATAATACAAGGCCCCTTCTACCATGTAAGGACACAGTGAGAACACAGACGATCATTTATGGACCAGGAAGCAGGTCCTGACCAGACACTTAATCTGCCTGTGCCTTGATCTTGGATTTCCCAGTCTCCAGAATTGTGAGAAATAAAGTTCTATTGTTTGTAAGCCAAAAATAAAGAAAAGATCAATGAAACTAAGAGCTGGTTCTTTGAAACGATAAATGAAATTGACAAA